AAAAAGACTTGGATTGACATTTCTAAAAGGCCCTTGGAGGCCAAATGGCCCTTGAGCTAAAACCCCAATCCTTTTAGTTTCGTATTGAGGTTCTTGTTATAGGATTACTTTGTTTCATTATTGAAGTAGTGTGCCGACGGAGATGCCACGTGCTGCTTTCGGACACTTCCCTGTCTTCAACATCACCTTTCAACCAATGCAATATAGTATGCCAGGTGGTTTGAGTTGTGTAGCTTTTGTTTAGGTGCCCAGTGGACTGGCCTGCCAAGCCAAGCCAGCTTCCACCCCCCACCCCTTTTTTTTTTCCAGCTTAAGACATGACGTAGAAACATAGACATTGACACGCCGCCGCTTGTCTGAACAGATAACATAGCCAGTCAAGACTGGAGGCCTCTTGACATTTTTTTGGCAGAGATCACAGGACTCGAGCTGTTAAATCTTTCACGTTTGATTGATTGCCATGCGAAGGTACGGTAAATCAAGTGGCTGGAGTTAACCAACAATATTTGGAAAGAGATTGTCTGTTTTGAAATGGCTCGGGTAATTGTACTGAAATACGTCCTCTGAAGGTCTTGATGTGCTCTCGATGGCTTCAAGGCACCCCGTGCGCTATATATAAATACTGCATATTAAGTTTGGCGAGACATCAGTGAAGCTCAACTCTCGGACGTCTTGTCTTTGGACGGAATATTACAGAGATGGAAAAAGCGCCTTAGTTACTATATTCGCTAGCAATCGCTAAGCAAGAACTAGAATCCAGTCGGAAGCACCAATATGACTGTCGCGTTTCACTCCAGACGTTCAAGTCATGACAAGGTTGCTGTGTTTTTTTTTTTTTTTTTGAGTCATCTCAAAAACAAGACCACAACCCTCATTACCAGAAGTGTAATTTGGGGGCTTTTTAATTGCCTGTCCTTGCTATAAATCGTACAAAGATGAAAAACTTGATTCGTTTTTCAGAACAGCTCCAAAAAGGAAACTGGTGGATGGATAGGCTCTTGTTGTGAATGTATTCATTATCATTCTTGTCCTTTTTTTTTTTTTTTTTTTTTTTTTTTTAATCTATACTTACAGTCCTGAAACAGCCAAATCAAACCTAAAGCATCTGCCAGTTCTGCCCACCCAAGTTCTCAGGAAACACCCGTCTCTCAGTTATTGGTGAGTTATCGGCGCAGTTAGTGATCTCCTAAAGCCACAGCATGTGGTCCTAAAAAAAAATTTTTTTTTAATCACATCTCCCAACATTTTAATTGTGCACATGTAGTACTCAAGCATCAATAAACAAAAGAAGAATAGAGCTGACCAATCATGGACCCCGATATTTGTATTCCTTGCCCGGAAAAAAAAAATGTCTTTGCCACAATTAGCGGTCAAACGTTCACATTGGGAATTATTATTTTTTTCACTCTAGTGAGGACAAAGTGATTGACCATTACAAGAAACTGAAAGGGCTGACGAGAGGACAGGCCATTGTGAAGTAAGTGTTCCACTTTTCATGAATGCGCTTGTTGTAAGTTGGATTGTGAGTTTTGATGGCAGTTTTACACGAGCGCTGGTTGTCACCGGGCCGGAATGTGGCATGGGAGGAGGAGCTCACGGTCCGGCCAGGAAGGCCATCGCCCCCTTGGGCTTCGCGTGGTTGTAACTCAGACCGAGCCTGACTCGTTCACATGGTGACGTTTTGTGCCCTTGAATTGATCAGCGGGCTCTCCCTCCCGCGTTGTAAATTACTGCAGCTTCCTCAATGACCGCGGCTTAACTCCGCTGCCTGTACGAGGGCCACGCTTTGCCAGTGAGGGAGTGCAAGTGACTGTATTCCTTTTAACCTCGCTCTCTCTCTCTCGCTCTCTCTCAAGGTATCTAACCCTGGTCGAGTCGTTGCCATCATATGGAGTCCATTATTACCCAGTAAAGGTAACGTCAGTGGCTTCAATAAAACCCACCGCTGCACATGCGGAAACTTTAAACTCTCGTGAACATACAGTTATGTTTGGCTAATGATGTTAAAGTTTGAAACCGAAAGGCATATAACGTACAGTCGAACACCCGTTACAACGTACCTCGAGGGACAGAACGAAACTGTACGTCATGGCGGCGGCTCGCCGTAGCCATTTCCAATCAAATGTCCGCCAACTACAAAGTATAATACAATATGAACATGTAAAAAACACGAATGTGTAATACAGTATAAACATGTCAATTACAAATGCGTGCTTATGAAAAAAAATGATTTTCTAAGACATGAAACAACCAACTATAGCGTTCCGACTTTATCTCTGAAACCATAAAAGTCAGCAAATAGACAAGTGCCAGTGCCGCCGCCGCCTGGGAGACTCCCTTTTGAAAGAGAGACACAATTTCAGCCTTGACAGACATCGAGATTTTGCTTCCGTTGACCAGACATGTTTTCAGAGCATGTGCTCGGGACCACGCCGTGCCTCCGTGAGCCGCGGCGGGAAGGGCAACGACGTGCAAGTCAGTCAGTAGCTCTGCTAAGCAATCATTCCTGCACCGCACGTTTTGTTCATAAGCAAGTTCGCGGCGGCAGTTCGATTCCCGCGGTTCGTCCTAACCAAAGCCTTTTCACTACCTTGCGGGGAAATGGAAAACGAATGACGAGAAATGGAGACTTTGAAATATGAACGGTGTAGGGGTGAAAGCGTCAACGTCTTGTTTTCCCGTTGTAATGAGCCTCATGGAGACAATTGCTTATCTCACACTGGCCCTCATGGTGCAAGTGATGCTACGTGTTTTTGCTTTCCTACAGGACAAGCAGGGCATCCCCTGGTGGCTCGGAGTCAGCTACAAAGGCGTTGGCCAGTACGATTTACAAGATAAGCTGAAACCAAGAAAGGTATGCCTTTTTATGACTGCCACGGATTTCATTCTTTCAAATCATGGGCTAAAATAGGCATGTTCGTGTTTTTTATTTATTTATTTTTTTATGAAACAGTACTTCCTTACGAATCTTTGCTAGGTATATTGTGTTAGCCCTGACATGGTTAACGATCCTCCTAAATGTGTAAATAAGCATCATCAAGATCTCCATTCCCATGTCAGTCAAAAGAAAGCAGAGAGTTGGTGGGAAAGACATTATCTGGTTTGGTGCGACAGAGTCAAGGTTAAGTAAATAAGGAAAAGGTAAAAAAAAAAAAAAAGTTTGTGTGTTGTGGGGTGGGGGGGGGTCGTTGCTGTACAATGCCAATGCCAGTCTTTTTGTTTGTTTGGATGTACAATACTGTCCCTTTGGAAGGTGGAATGTGGGTTTTTACTAGATTTAGCCAAGCTAAAAGTCTTTCTATGGACCGTGGTATATCCAAGCTTTGGAAATAATTTTCTTTGGCACTTTTCAGCAGATAAATATGACTTCTACTTTTTTGGCCCTTTTCCACCGCGCTTGTGCTGTTGCCCAGAACTAGCACCCGTTCTTTCTTTTTTCACCAACGAAATTGTCTCCAGCGCTAGCTCTGGTGCTAGAAACTGCTGCTTAAGTTGGCCGCAATTATTTGTTGAGCCCGACTCTGGCACCGACGACGTCAATGGGCGGGGTTATCACGATGCTCGCAGATGTAGAGGAATGACTCCCTTCCCAGGTAGCATGCGATCTCTCTGACACACAGCCAGCCCCGTGATCATCTACAATGATTACGAAAGATAGAAGCGTTAGCTGATTGCATGTCTCTGAGTGTTATATACGACATACAAGTACAAGCGACGGAGTGACGTTTGGACGCTTTACGATGAAGTCATGACGTAGCTTCTACTTGGCTCATTGCCAGTGGAGAAGCAAACACGTTTTTCATGAGAACTTGTTAAGCGCCAATTAAGCACAGCACCGGCCGACCCTGGCCCCGAACGAGCACCAAATTTGTTTTTGGTGGAAAAGGGGTATGTGAAGACTACAGGCCTGATTTTCAAAGATTCTATCAAATAAATCGCCATTTTATTTTTTGTCTTTCACCGTGGAAAATTTGGTGAAACACCGCAAAGGCTAAATGGAAGTTTGAGCGATGCATTTGGAACTGTCGTGCTTGTCAAATTGATGCTCGCGCTATTGGAAGTGAAAAACTGAAAGGTAAAATCAAATGAAATGATTTTGGTTGGCTTTGTCCCAAAATGGAAGTTTGAGCGATGCATTTGGAAGTGTCGTGCTTGTCAAATTGATGCTCGCGCTACTGGAAGTGAAGTCAAAATCAAATGAAATGATTTTGGTTGGCTTTGTCCCATCTCATACCCCGGCCACAATTACCCTCGATGCGTTGTCCTTTTCTAGCCATTGTAAAGTTGAAAGCTGTTGACGCCGCATGTTGCACGGGTTCCCAAAACATCAGTGAGCCGCCTGTCACATGCGCGCAAGTTGTGTTCCAAGGGAAGCAACGAGCCTCTGGGGCACGCTGTGGCGCTCAGCCAGCTGTGTTAGTGCGTGCAAAGGGTTTGAGAACATCCAACTCGGGGTCGTTTCCTGTTGTTGGGGAATACGCTCTCGCCTTTAAAACTGTATGGTGCTTCATCCAAGTGCAGTTTGCGGGAGAAATATGAGTTGGCCTTCCTACTCATTGCAAGTCTGCCACTTCTTCCTTTTTACTTTGGAGAATAAATTGGGCGTTTGTTGAATTGGTATCCCGCTTCTTAAGAGTTGTCAGAGTTTCCTGTCTTTACTGAACTTTAACTTTTTCGACGAAAGTTGTCTTATTTTGGGTTCAACTAATGCTTGACGCTTAAGATTTCTGAATCATGTTCTGTAAAAGTCAAGCGGCAACATTTGCTCAGAATGTCTAATTTTGGGTGAGAACTCATGAATGATGCAAGATTTCTGAATCGTGTTCCGTTGAAAGGAAGTCCCCAAAATAGAAACGGAAAAGCTCAATTTACTCATCACGTTTTTTACATGATAGGCTTATATTTTCTTGGAAGCATTTACTTATTATTATTTTATACTATATCGTATGGAAATGCCGTGTTGGCAGCAAATGAATCCGAGGATAACGCAATTTACAAGGGGTGGACTTTTTTTTTTTTGGTATGGCGTTGAGATGTGGGCCTTGTTTTTGGTGCGTTGTCCCAGGTGCTTGGATTGTCAGCGTTAGTGCTTGTGTACACGCGGATCCCGACTGAAACCACAGGCATCTGTCTTTAATGGTAGCTATGGCAACAATGTTGATGTCAACGCTAACTCGTTATCATTCACACCTGCAGGACAAGCACACATTGTCATGAAAGAAATCAGCAGTTTCTTTGTTTTGTTTTTTTGTACCAGCTGTAGAAGCCGTGTCAAACTTTTGTCGGAGCGAAAGGGATCTGCAAGAAAATGACTCGTAGCCTCATGCTCGTAGCCTTTTGCAGAGATTGAGGCGTGTCACATCCCAAACATATTTTGGCAGTGGCCTCAGAAGCAGTCTGTGAAGTGCTTTTTTATTTTTTTTATACTGTACATGCACTTGCACGCGTGTGAACTGTCTCCTCGTGTGTTTTAATGCAGGCAGCCTCGACGTTCTTAGCCGCCATGCCACTTGTTTTCTTTGTGCTTTGTGCATCTCTCTCTAGTCTCTAATCTATGACTTGCGTTGTCAGGCTCGTCATTTTCACTTGCGCATCTAGAATAGGACGTGCAGTAACACGTAACCAGGTCGGATCAGTCGGGGAGTTCCTCCAGCACAGCGATTTTCTTCTTGGCCAGGAATTGTCGAATGCTCGGGGCGTTGTGAGCAAACGGGTTGAAACGAGAGAACGGCATAGGATCTGTTTTGCGGACGGGCCGGGTGATGATCTGGCCTCCCGGCAAGGACTCTCATGAACGATGGCTCTCATCACGAAAAAAATGCGATCAACATAACCCTGGACGTTGTCCGCTGACACGTCTTCCTTCAACTTTGGCGATGCCGGACTCTCTCTCTCTGAAGGCCCCGGCGTTTGATCCCCGGGTGACACTCATAGATCCGTGACTCATCGACGGTGATGACTCCTCCTAGCAAGTCCAGTTTCGCTGGTCTCATCATCACATTCTCCTCATTGCTTGATGCATGTGGAAAAAAGTCTTGACGGCCGCAGAGTGCCGAGATCACAGCTGGGCAATTGGATTGAAGGGTGACGCGAGTATGTTAGTTCGTATTTGAAATCTATTCGGTGACAGCGGAACTTTTATGACACACCTTGTCCGCATATGTGTGCGTGGGGGTGTGCGTGTGTGTGTGTGTGTGTGTATGCGCGCGTCGGATTGTCTCTTATCTATTTGAGGTTTTCCCAAAATGGGCGCTTCTTATTTATGTGAATACAACCTGTTTGTCTGGTCTGACTAAAAGGGAAGAGCTCTGCTGCGTAGGCGGGGGTGGAGTGGGGGGGGGGGGGGGGGGGGGGGGGGGGGGCCGGG